CCCAGGGTCCTGGGATCGAGTCCCGCATCGGGCTCCCTGCTTCTTGGGAGCCTGCTTCTCCCTCTGCTTCTCTCTCTCTCTCTCTCTCCCTCTCTCTCCGTCTCTCATGAATAAATAAAATCTTTAAAAAAAATGTGCCTCTCACTATAAAAATATTAAAAAAAAATATCAGGAAACTTGAAAAAGATCAGTAATGAGGGGTTATTTATTTATTTATTTTTAATCTAGACAGTCTGGCTTCAGAGCCAGAAACTTTTTTTTTTTTAAGACTTTATGTTTTTAGAGCAGTTTTAGGTTTACAGCAAAATCAAGAGGAAGGTACAGAGATTTCCGACATGTACCCACAGCCTCCCTGTTCATTATCAACATCCCCCACCAGGTACATTTGGTACACTTTTTTTTAGTAAAAGTTTTATTTTTTTTAAGATTTTATATATTTGAGAGAGAGAGAGAGAGAGCGCAAGTGGGGGTGGGGAGGGCAGACAGAGAGGGGGAAGCAGACTCCGTGCTGAGCAAGAAACCTGACTTGGGGCTGGATCCCAGGACCCTGGGGATTATGACCTGAGCTGAGGGCAGACATTTAACTGACCGAGCCTCCCAGGTGCCCCCATTTGGTACACTTGATGAACCTCATGATCATCCAGAGTTCACAGTTTAGATGATAGTTTATTCTTGTTCATTCTGTCGGTTAGGACAAATGTAAAATGGCACGTATCCATCATTATAGTATCATACAAAGTAGTTTCAGTGCCTCCAAAATCCTGTGTTCTATTTATTCATCCTTCTCCAAACCCCTGGCAACCACTCTTTTTTTTGTCTTCAGAGTTTTGCTTTTTCCAGATTATTATATAGTTTGAGTCATACAGTATGTAGCCTTTTCATATTGACTTTTACTTAGTAATATGCATCTAAGCTTCCTTTATATCTTTTTATGGCTCCATAGCTCACTTGTGTTTATCACTGAATGACATTCTATTTTCTGGATGTACCACAGTTTATTTAACATTAACCTACTAAAGGTTCCAAGTTTTGGGAATTAGGAATAAAGCTTCTGTGCAAGTCTTTGTGTGGACATAATTTTTCCGCTCTTTTGAGTAAATACTAAGAAGTATGATTGCTGGATCATATAAAAGTATGTTTAGTTTTTTGGTTTTTTTTTTTAAGATTTTATTTATTTGAGAGAGAGAGACAACACAGAGAGAGAGGGAGAAGTAGGGAGCCGACGCTTAACAGACTGAGACACCCAGGCGCCCCAAGTATGTTTAGTTTTGTTAGAAACTGTCAAGCTGTCTTCCAAAGTGGCTGTACCATTTTGCATTCCCACCAGCAATGAACAAGAGATCTTGTTGCTCCTCACCAGCATTTCGTGTTGTCAGTGTTCTGGCTTTGGCCATTCTAATAGGTATGTGATGGAAACGGCCTTTTATTAAGACATATTTTTAAATTATATATAAAAAATAAATTAAAATAAATAGAGTGTGATGCTGGCCGAAGAATAAAGATGGATCACTGAACCAAAATAGAACCACAGTAAATCCAAATATGTATCATCTGTGATAATGGTTTGGCATTTAAACCAATGCTGTAGTCACCTGCGGTAAGGCTCACTCCCCCCCCCATTTCAACATATCTGAAGTCAGGTAATATCTTACACAGTTTTTATCTTTCTTAGTGGCATATAAAATAATAGTGCATTTTAAGTGAGATATATTATTCACATGTGACTTTGGTACACTTAGGTAGTCAGCCTATGAGAGAAATTAAGTAGGATTCCTAACTCATAAATTATACTGAAATAAAATTATAACTTATAATTTTATACTATAGTGTTTTGTTAATATTCTACCAAAATAAAATAATAATTGATTAAAGACCTACGTGTGACAAAGCATTAAACAGAGAAATTTTTTTTTAAAGATTTTATTTATTTATTTGACAGAGAGAGATATAGCAAGAGAGGGAACACAAGCAGGGGGAGTGGGAGAGGGAGAAGCAGGCTTCCCACTGAGCAGGGAGCCCGATACGGGGCTCGATCCCCGGACCCTGGGATCATGACCTGAGCCGAAGGCAGACGCTTAACGACTGAGCCACCCAGGCGCCCCTAAACAGAGAAATTTATATAAATATGCATAGGTAAGAAAAATCTTCTTAGCCCAAAACTATAAAAGTTGACACTTTGTTTTGCATGGCAAAAACATATTAGCAAAGTTATTATTATTATTATTTTTTTTTTTTTTAAGAAAAACAGAGCTATAGGGTAAGAATGAGGAGTGTGTCTGTGTAAGGCTGAGGTAAGGAGTTCTGTGGGGATGGGAGTTGACAGACTGTCTTGGGCTTGGGAAGTGAGAAGACTTCATTAGGGAAGTCTTAGTCCTTCTGATCAGAGCAAACTGGGTTCCTGGACCAAGGGTACCATTTGGGTGAATTTGCTTGAGGACCTGAGTGAGGGCTGCAGAGGAGGGATCTCCTCAGGCAGGTCAAAGAAGCTTTGTCTTGGGTTTACTGAAGTGGGACAAGGTCTGGCCTGAATCACTTGGATGAGGCAAGAACCTGGGTTAATCAGATGAAGGAGAGGGAATCTGAGTCTGTATTCCTTTGAATCCACTAGCCAGGATCCATTTTACTATAGCTAAAGCCTGGGGCTTCTGGGGTTGAAGAAGTAGGATTTATCCCATCCTCCCACTGACCACAGTTACATCATAAGACCCAGGGTGGTCAACTGAAAGCTGTAAAGCCAATGTGGTTTCTAGAGCATTTCTTTGCTTCCCCAGTCCTGCTTTCTCAGAATACTATCCTTTCTCAGGAAAACAGCCCCAAGGAGGACTGATCCTCTCCTGCAATACTGAAAGCCATGGCCCAGGTGAGTTGATGCTTTTTCTTACCTTCCTGACATTTAGTTTCAAATTAAAAAAAAAATTTTTTTTTAATGGTCATTTGAGTATTTGTTTTCCTACTCCTGACATCTTTGGCTATCAGGTTTCCCCTTCAGGATTCTTGGACTCCTTTTCCCCTCAGTCTAACCAGATAATCCTTTACCATTCTTAAGTGCCCTTTTTTTTTTGACCCAGCATTAATATTTTCACCTGGCATCTCTTTTCTCAGCCCTCTCCCAAGAGCTATGATGGAAAGGAAATGAGAGTAGATTTGTAGAATGAACTTATGCTTTCCAGACGGTGATTTGATGAGGTAGAGATGCGTAAGTTGCTTAGTTGGGAGCAAACATGGGTATGTTCTACAGATTGGTATTGACCAGTGAGATAGTATAGGAAGTGATGTTGGTAGTTCCAAATGTTAGACTGTTGCAAGACCTCCTGGCTTATGAGCTTGGAAGATTGTGGACTCGGTAGCTGATCCCGACAGATCTCTGTGACTTTTAGGGCATCCATGAACGAAGTTCAGTTTGAAGTTGGACAGGAAGTGTGGGTCATGAGGAATTTCCATAGGAATCACCAGTTTTCTTTATCTCAGAAATAAAGATAATCCCTGAAGGGAGATACCTGCATCTCTTTTAGCTGATTACAATAGAATATATCCATTATTTTAATTAATATTCCTATATTGCTGTTTCTTGATTAACCAAATTTTTAGACATTTTGTAGTTATTTTTTTGCAAGGTATGTGTGGATTTAGATTTGCTATATCACACTCTACTTCCTTTTCCCACAACAGAGTTATATCACAATTTTGTTTAAATCAGTGCAATTCATATGAGTAGAGCCTTGCAGATATTCTATTCTCTACCAGCCCCCTTTAAAAAAACTTTATAATAATAAATTTCAGACATAGGAAAGTAGAGGAGTTATGAACTACCATATACTCACCATTCAGCTTCAAATCCGAGTCAATCTTGTTTCATTTATACTGATACCTGTTTCTTCCTTGCACACTACCCTACCCTACCCTCACTTCTACACACAGGGTTTTTTTGAAGCAAATACAAATTGGTATGTATTTCTAAAAGACAAGGATTATTTTTGGAAACAACCATTATGCCATTATTGCCTCTAGAAAAGTTAGAAATAATTTGTTAATATCATCAATATCTAGCCAGTGTTCAAATTTTGAATTCTTTAATTATTTATTTGTATTAGAATCCAAATAAGGACTGTGCACTGCAGTTCATTTGAAGTCTTTTGAGTCTCTTATTTTTCAGGTACCCCTTCCATCTATTTTCTTTCTGTGTCTGTTTTTGTTAGAAAAGAAAAAAAGTGGTTCATTTGTCCACTGTTTGGATTTTGCTGATTGCATCTCTGTGGCATCATTTAACTGTTTCCTGAAAATTGGTAGTTAAGTCTAGATGCTTGATCAGGTTCAGTTGAGATTTTTTTTTGTTGTGAATATGTCACACGTGGTGATATGTGATTCCATCAAGAGGCACATTATATCTGGTACTCTTTCTTTTTGTAATGTTATCCACCATTGGTGATTACTGTCTAGATTAGAGGTTGCAGAATATTTTAATTCTGTCATTCCTCCTTCATAGATTAGGTGAAATACTCTTTGTTATTTTTATTTTTTTAAGATTTGATTTATTTGAGAGAGAGGGAGTGCTGGGGAGAGAAGCAGAGGGAGAGGGAGAAGCAGACTCCCCGCTGAGCAGGGAGCCCAATGTGGTGGGGCTCCATCCCAGGACCCTGGGATCATGACCTGAGTCAAAGGCAGACGCCTAATGGACAGCCACCCAGGCGCCCCTGAAATACTCTTTATAAAGTAAAACTTCTCATCAACTGTTTGGTTACCCTGAAAGATAGTCTGTCTAGGAAAGAATATTTGAATAATGAGTTGGTTTCTTAGAATCCTAAAAGGGTGACCAGTAGTATTTTATTCATTGTTGTTAGGACCTCATGATTTAAACATTTTTTTATCTATAGGTCCATTATACTGGATCCTCAAATTATACCATTTTTAGCCAATGAGAGGCTCTTCAAGTTGGTGCCTGGGTCCATGTAACATGATTCTAACAGTTTTTGATAGCTCCCTTGCTTTCTGATATAACAGAATGTTCAGTCTTATCCTGGCATTTCTGACTCAATCCTGAAATCATCTCTTTCCCCAAAGGATCTTGGTTCCTTTTATTTGAATATAATACTTAGGGACTACAATCTAGACACTAGGGGTGCTTATTTCTACTGGATGAATTATTATTTGTAGACCTTTTCAATAGGTAAAGTCAGGAACTTGTTTGTTTTCAATATAAAATAAACTGATTAACCTTTTTGTTCTAGTTAACATACAATGTTATATTCGTTTCAGGTGTACAATATAGTGACTCAACAATTCCATATATCACTCAGTATTCATCAAGATAAGTGTACTCTTAATCCCCTTCATTTATTTCAGCCATCCCCCCGACCACCTCCACTCTGGTAACCATCTGTTTCTCTATAGTTAAGAGTCTTTTTTTTTTTTTTTGGTTTGTCTCTCTCTCTCTCTTTTTCCTTTGTTGGTTTGTTTTATTTTTTAAATTTGACATATGAGTGAAATTATATGGTATTTGTCTTTCTCTGACTTACTTATTTTGCTTAGCATTATACTCTCTAGATCCATCCATGTTGTTTCAGTGGCAAGATTTCATTCTTTTTATGGCTGAATAATATTCCATTGTCTGTATAAATACCACATCTTTATCCATCACCTATCAGTGGACACTTAGGTTGCTTCTATAATTTGGGTATTGTAAATAATGCTGCTATATAAGCATAGGGGTGCATGTATCCCTTTGAATTAGTATTCAGTAATGCAGTTACTGGATCATAGGGTAGTTGTATTTTTAATTTTTTGAGGAACTTCCAAACTGTCTTCCACAGCGGCTGCACCGGTTTGCATTCCCACCAAGTGCAAGAACATTCCTTGTTCTCCACATCCTCACCAACACCTGTTGTTTCTTGTGTTGTTCATTTTAGCCATTCTGACAGGTGTGAGGTGATATCTCATTGTGGTTTTGATTTGCATTTCCCTGATGATGAGTGATGTTGAACATCTTTTCTTGTGTCTGTTGGCCATCTGTATGTCTTCCTTGGAGGAATGTTCATGTTCATGTCTTTTGCCCATTTTTTAATTGGATTATTTGTTTTTGGGTGTTGAGTTGTATCAGTCCTTTATATATTTTGGAGACTAACCCTTTATCAGATATGTCATTTGCAAATATCTTCTCCCATTCAGTAGGTTGCCTTTTAGTTTTGTTGATCGTTTCCTTTGCTGTGCAGAAACTTTTTATTTTGACATAGTCCCAATAGTTTATTTTTTCTTTTATTTCCCTGGTCTCAGGAGACATATCTAGAAAGATGATGTTATAGCCGATGTCAGAGAAGTTACTGCCTGTGATCTCTCCTAGGATTTTGATGGTTTTAGGTCTCATATTTAGGTCTTTAATTCATTTTGAATTTGTTTTTGTGTATCGTGTAGGAAAGTGGTCCAGTTTCATTCTTTTGCAAGTAGCTGTTGAGTCTTCCCAACACCATTTATTGAAGAGACTGTCTTTTCCCCATTGTATATTCTTCCCTCTTTTGTCAAAGATTAATTGGCCACATAATTGTGGGTTTATTTCTGGGCTTTCTGTTCTGTTCCGTTGGTCTATGTGTCTATTTTTGTGTCCGTTCCATATTGTTTTGATTATTACAGCTTTATAATTTAACTTGAAGTCTGGAATTGTGATACTTCCAGTTTTTTTTTCCTTTTCAAGATTGCTTTGGCTATTCTGAGCCTTTTGTGGTTCCATACAAACTTTAGGAATGTTTATTTTAGTTCTGTGAAAAATACTGTTGGTATTTTGATAGGGATTACATTAAATCTGTAGATTGCTTTGGATACTGTAGACATTTTTTTTAAAGATTTCATTTATTTATTTAACAGAGAGAGAGACAGCGAGGGAGGGAACACAAGCAGGGGGAATGGGAGAGGGAGAAGCAGGCCTTCCACTGAGCAGAGAGCCCGATGCAGGGCTTGATCCCAGGACCCTGGGATCATGACCTGAGCTGGAGGCAGCCACTTAATGACTGAGCCACCCAGGCGCCCCTGGATACTATAGACATTTTAACAGTATTTGTTCTTCCAGTCCATGAGCATGGAATGTCTCCATTTATTTATGTTGTCTGCAATTTCTTTCATCAGTGTTTTATAGTTTCCAGAGCATGGGTCTTTCACATCTTTGGTTAAGTTTATTCATAGATTTTAAGATTTTATTTTTGGGTGTAACCTCTACACCCAACATAGGGCTCAAACTTAAAACCCCGAGATCAAGGGTCACATGCTCTACCAACTGAGCCAGCCAGGCGCCCTCTAGATATGTTACTATAAAATAAACTAATTACTCTGGCATCTATTTTTAAGATCCAGAGGTACTGATTCTGAGTGATACCAGTACAGTCACTGATTTGCTTTACCCCATAATACAAGTGCCATAGTCTCTGAATTATTTCTTTTATTACACAAGTAATACATATGTTTATTGTTTCAGGGATCAGTGGTGTTCAGTGATGTGTCTATAGACTTCTCACAGGAGGAGTGGGAGTGCCTGGACCCTTGTCAGAGGGACTTGTACAGAGATGTGATGTTGGAGAACTATAGCAATCTGCTGTCAATGGGTAAGGGCTTCTATACCATAATTTAGAGTTCTTCTCTGGAATGATTCTTCCACAGTGAATTTCCCAGCTGCTTTTCGAGTTACCGGCTGAATTTCTGCTCCCTATTCCCAAATAAGTGGTTTGAGCTGCAATGAAAAGGAAGAGCTGGAAATGGGCAACTCCAGTGACTGTGGCAGAAGCTTCGTCCTCTTTCTTTGGCTGTTCCTGTAGTGGCATCTCCTCTTTTGTCATCAAGGGACTGGATCTGATTTCTGGATCTGGTTTACCCACCGCATAACCATGTCCCATATCTTTTCTTGTGAGCAGGACTTTACATTCCTAAGCCTCAAGTTATCTCCTTATTGGAACAAGGAAAAGAGCCCTGGATGGTTGGCAGAGAGCTGACAAGAGGCCTGTGTTCAGGTGAGTGAGAAATGATTGGGCAGGAGCAAGGCACTACAAGTAAACTCAGCACCTTTGAGATGTTATCTAGGCTTGTTGGAAAAACCAAGTCCTCTTAGCATGAGTTTACAAACGACCTGTTTCATTCCTTCTCTCACTTACTACTCTTTCTGCTACTCTTCTCCAGCAACCTTCATAATTTCAAGTAGGGTGAGCCCTTCACTTCCCCTCCAGTAAAAGTCTTTTACCCATATTTTAGATTCAGTTCCTTGTTGGCTTTTCTTCCTCTTCAATGTTTTCTGTGTGTGCATGCATGCGTGTGTATGCACACCCCCTCCTCCAAGTACTGGTCTTCATCAATATTACTTGCCAGTGACTTGTTTAACCAGTTTGTTGTGCATTATTTCTTTACCCAGTGTTTTTCATTTACTGATTTGTGCAAGAGAACATGCCAGGTGCTGTCATTTGCTAATCATGTCACCTATTAAGAACTTGGGAGTCAGGGGTGCCTGGGTGGCTCAGTCATTAAGTGTCTACCTTCGGCTCAGGTCATGATCCCAGAGTCCTGGGATCGAGCCCAGCATCAGGCTCCCTGCTCTGCAGGAAGCCTGCTTCTCCCTCTCCCACTCCCCCTGCTTGTTCCTTCTCTCGCTTTGTCTCTCTCTGTCAAATGAATAAATAAAATCTTAAAAAAAAAAAAAAAGAACTTGGAAGTCAAAAAGTAGTGCTAAAATATATCCATGAATAATTTCCACAAAGTAGAATCTAGTAAAGAGGATCAGGGGGCTTAGCAGAAAGTCAGTGGCTAAATATGCAGAAGTGGAAAATCCATACTGAATAAATAGTTGGGAGTGTTGCAAGTGATTGCAGTCACCTCCTATGATGATAATGTTGGGGAAAATGGAAAGGAAGAGGTGTCAGAGGAGGCGAGATTTAGGATAAAGTGTTTACCTTATCCTAAATGCTCCAGAAAAGCATTACTGTATAGTAAGTATTGGTCCCAGTGGGACGAATGCTGGGAGTACAGCATTGAATAAAACATTCAGAGTTTTGCTGTTCTGGAGCCTATGTTCTAGAAGGTGAGAGAGAAAAAATAGATATGTTTATAATGTCAGATGGGTGGTAAGTGGTATGAAGGGAGGTTAGAGAAGGCCTCTTTTTAAGAGGTGATAATTTAACCAAAACCTGAAGGAAGCAAGGGAACAAGTGTTGTAAGTATCTGGTAGAAGAGATTCAGGCAGAAGGAAAAGGAAGAACAAAGTCCCTGAATTAGGGGCTTTTTGGCATCTACCATTGTGATTGGAACAGAAGAAGCAGAGAGGGACTTGTAGGAGAGGGGATCAGCAAAGCAGCAGGATGTACGTGTGTTTGTGTGTTTGTGTGCTAGGTGCACGTGAGAGGTGGGGTGTGCCTGCAGATGACTTGGGGTCTTGTGGGCCTTGGTATGGGCTTTGAATTCTATTCTGAATGAGATGATTTGAGCGGAGGAGTGACATCATATTTTTAAGGAGGTTGCTAATTTTGGATTCTTTTGAATAAAATTTAGGGAGTCTTTGAGCTTGAAAGAGAAGAAAAAATACTTTATATTTTAACTAACCTCGAATTGAAAATTGCATATCTTCCTACTGTGGTGTATGGAACAAACCATAGCAGTATTGTATAGTTCCTGTGACTTTGACATGGATGGAAATCACAGATATTTTCATATCATCTTACTGTTAATGTAGACATATTAAAAAATTATTTGTGCTCATCAATATTTCAGAATTACTATAGTACTAGGTTCAGTATTAGGTCTTACTATTTAATGTATTAAGAAAACCCCAGGGTGCCTGGGTGGCTCAGTCGGTTGTGTCTGCCTTCGGCTCAGGTCATGAATCCAGGGTCCTGGGATCGAGGCCCACATCGGGCCCCCCACTCAGTGGGGAGGCTGCTTCTCCCTCTCCCTTCCCCCCCCCCACTCGTGCACGCTCTCTCTCTCTCTCAAATAAATAAATAAAATCTTTTAAAAAAAAAAAGAAAAGAAAACTCCAGGTGGAGGGAAGAACCCCTGCGAAAGCCCTTCTAGGAGGGGAAGGGTTGGTGTGTTTGAAGAACTGAAAGAAAGGGAGGGTTACTGGGCTGGTGAGCAAGCAAGTGTGGAGTGTGAGTCAGGATTGGAGATCAGTTGGTCTTTGCCAGTGAGTGTGAGGAGTTTGGTTTCGAGCAGTGGAAGGCCAGGCCACATTAATTTTGGTTGCTGAATAGATTAAAGAGTGTGAGAACTTGGTGGGGAGATGGGTTGGGAGGCTACCTCAGTGGCCTGAGTAAGAGATGATTCTGGTTTGGAAGAGAGGCCATTGGCAGTGGACATAGAAGTGGATAGTTTTAAAAGTTACTTCGGAGCTTAACTCTATGGAAATTGCTGAAATATCCTATGGGGAGAGGAGAAAAAAGATTATGCTGGAAAGAATTCCTTGTTTCTGATTTGAGTTGTTCCAGTAGGCTCCATTTTGATGTCTTCAAACCATTTAATTTGCCTAAAATCCCCATTTTTGGTAAGAAATTCTTTCGTAATAATAGCTATCAAATACTGAACACTTGACTCAAAGACATTTACAGGCATTATTCCTTTCCCTCCCAGGAATCATGAGGTAAAGATGATCTCCCTTTTGCAGATGAGGAAATGGGGACTTAGGTTAAATAATTGCCCAGGAACATATAGTGAGTAACTGTGAGTTGGAATTCCACTCTATCAGCTTGCTTCCACTTGTCATTTTTCCATGACAGTACTTTCCACCGTGTCTTATTTTCTTCCTGTTTGCCTTAAACATTAGCTGCCTCCTTTTCAGCCACTGCAGTGGTACATGAGTAAGTCTCTTCTCCCAAGATCAGCATCACAAAATTCCAAGGCAAACAGTATTTTTACTGAATCACCAGAACAGAACATATTCTGAGTCTTCCCTATCTACTACTCATCAGTTTAGTTCAATACCTTAGACTGACTCCAGGCTCTGCCCCCTTGTGGCTAGCCCTCTGTAAATTTCGACCAATCTATCCTTACTTTGGAACCTATTCAGTTTTCATCACAACTGGGACTGCTGCAGTTCTGACCCTAACTACCCAGAGTTAGCATAGACCCTACGGATTAATAGCAAAGTTGTACACAAGACTGCCCTCGCTTTATTTTACTTTTTTAAAGATTTTGTGTATTTATTTGAGAGAGAGAGAGAGAGCAAGCACGAGTATGGGGAGAGGGAGAAGCAGACTCCCCACTGAGCTCGATCCCAGGACCCTGGGATCATGACCTGAGTTGAAGGCAGACGCTTCACCGACTGAGCCCCGCAGGCGCCCCTGCCCTCACTTTTAGATGCCAGCTGCAAGTCTCAGAGTTCTTAGACACTTACACTTCTGAGCAACTGGCTATAAATTTGGGGATTTCCACAGCTCCTGCAAGGTTAATAATTTGCTAGAATGATTCACAGAACTCTAGAAAGCTTTATACTTATAATTGCAGTTTTACTCTGAAGGATACATTTTAGGGCAAGGTCTAGTAAGCTTCCCGATACAGAGGTTCCACGCCATCTCCCTGTAGAATCAAAGTGTGTCACCTGCCTGGCACATCAAGTATGTTCACCAACCAGAAAGGTCCACTGAGCTTTGGTATACAGAGTTTTTATTGGGATTTACTCACACTGGCATGATTGAGTGAGTCATTGGCCACTCAATCTCTGGCTCTTCCCTCCTCCCCAGAAGGCCAGTAGCTGAAGGTCCCAACCCTCTAATAACATGCTAGGTCTTTCTGGTGACCAGTCCCCCATCCTGCAGCTATCTAGGGATCTGCCGTGAGTCACCTCATTGGCCTAGCAAAAAACACTCCTATCACTCAGGAAGTTCCAAGGGTTTTTGAAGCTCTGTGTTAGAAACCAAGGACAAAGACCAAATTTATTCTTTATCATACTACAGAGCCCAGAAATCTTCCCCTATGTGCATTTGTTCCTCTCCAGAAACCTTTAATGGAGGTCAGCAAATTATCCACTTTTTGTGATACGTATAGTATGATGGTTTCTTACGTGTTCATACATGCATGCTTGTATAGATGTATATAGGACTTGTCGTCTTTTCATATGCCCAGGTAGTGTATATTTATCTTCCTTTCCTTATGATTCTGAGCCACATCAATATTTGAGAATCGTTGTGGTTTCCTTTTTCTGTAGTCTCCTCCCTCACATTTTGCATTATATCTCATTAATTTCAGTGCAGTTTTGGGGTCTATTTTCAGGTTAAACAGATATACTTGAGAACTGTATGTCACTTACCACCAGATACTCTTTTCACTTTAATTTTTCCATTTCTATTATAAAAGTTTAAGTTTTCATAAATGGGTGGTGGGAGTGGGGTGGTAAGAATATTTAACATTTCATTTTCTTTCAGATCTGGAATCAATGTGTGAAACCAAGTTACTGTCTCTGAAGAAGGAAGTTTATGAAATAGAATCTTGCCAGAGGGAGATAATGGGGCTTACAAAGCATGGCCTTGAGTACTCCAGTTTTAGAGACATTGTGGAATATAGAAACCACTTTGAAAAACAACTGGGATATCAAAGTGGGCATTTCAGCCAAGAAATACTCACTCATGAATACATGCCCACATTTATTCAACAGACATTCTTTACTCTACAGCAAATAATTAACAATGAAGAGAAACCCTATGAATGTAAGAAATGTGGAAAGGTCTTTAGTCAGAATTCACAGTTTATTCAACATCAGAGAATTCATATTGGTGAAAAATCTTATGAATGTAAGGAGTGTGGGAAATTCTTTAGTTGTGGCTCCCATGTTACTCGACATCTGAAAATTCATACTGGTGAAAAACCATTTGAATGTAAGGAATGTGGTAAGGCTTTCAGTTGTAGCTCATACCTTTCTCAGCATCAGAGAATTCATACTGGTAAGAAGCCCTATGAATGTAAGGAATGTGGGAAGGCCTTTAGCTATTGCTCAAATCTTATTGACCATCAGAGAATTCACACTGGTGAGAAACCCTATGAATGTAAAGTATGTGGGAAAGCCTTTACTAAGAGCTCACAACTTTTTCAACATGTGAGAATTCATACTGGTGAGAAACCCTATGAATGTAAAGAATGTGGCAAAGCTTTTACTCAGAGCTCAAAGCTTGTTCAGCATCAGAGAATTCATACTGGTGAAAAACCCTATGAGTGCAAGGAATGTGGCAAAGCCTTTAGTAGTGGCTCAGCGCTTACTAATCATCAGCGAATTCACACTGGGGAGAAACCCTATGATTGTAAGGAATGTGGGAAAGCTTTTACTCAGAGCTCACAACTTCGTCAACATCAGAGAATTCATGCCGGTGAGAAACCCTTTGAATGTCTTGAATGTGGGAAGGCCTTTACTCAGAACTCACAACTTTTTCAACATCAGAGAATACATACAGATGAAAAACCGTATGAATGTAGTGAATGTGGAAAGGCCTTTAATAAATGTTCAAACCTTACGCGACATCTGAGAATTCACACTGGTGAAAAGCCCTATAACTGTAAGGAATGTGGGAAGGCATTTAGTAGTGGCTCAGATCTCATTCGTCATCAGGGAATTCATACTGATGAGTAATAAAAGTTAAAGCACCTGTTACCTTCCTAATACTTTAAACAAAAAAAATTCACGTTTGATAGTTACGCTTTCACTAGTTTTTGTTTTTAAATTTTATTTTATATTTCTTTTTAATTCAAATGTTTTTCACTCTAAGTTATGAATTAAGATTCTAAATTGACATTACCCATCCCCGTTCCCCAATCTTGTACTAAGGGCAGTTCAGTAATTCTTTTCTTGCCTATTATTTCATTCTACCTTCTTGGTGAGACATTATATTCTTGTTTATATTTGCTTGTATTTTTTTCTTCTCTTATCTATGTATTTGTGCTTACACCAATATCACACTGTTGAAAATTGTGAGATTTTGTAGTTTCTAACTGTAGAGTTATAACCTTGTTTTTGAAGTCAGTATTAATCTTGTGTTTCATTTCACAAATTTGTATTTTCTTACATAAAACAGAAAATCAGAAAACCAGCAACTATGATTAACAGTAATCATAGCAACTATCAATGACTACTCGTAAGTTGATAGAGCTAACCTCCCAGACTTTGTTTTTAAAGTCATGGTATGCATGCATGTTATCCCTTCACCTGTTTTGGTCATGCCAAAAAATATGGTTGCCATTTCAATAAATATAGATTTTTAAAATGAGTTATATATACTTAATGACTTTTCAGAATGACTTTATTACTCATGTTCTGTTTGCATCTAAACATTTGCAGTTATGAAATGTGCCCTGAATACTATGACCCCAAATTTATCTTTGAATGTTTGTTTCTTTCTTTTAAAACATCTATTTAATGCTGAAATTATACACATTTTCTCCCTTTAAACTGTTTTGTTCCTTTTTATCCACCCCCCTCTCATACTAGAAAGATAATGAACCACTGTTATCAAAGTGTTGTTTATCCTTCTAGTTTTGTTTTGTTTTTACTTTTTACTTTTATATGTTAGTGGCAATTTATTTCTTACATATTATTAAGATAATCATGCTGTATGTATTTGTTTGTTGTGAGGATTCAATGAATTAATAAATGTAAAGTGCTTAGAACTATTCCTGTTACCTAGTAAATGTTTAGTAAAAGTTGTCCACTATTATTGATACTCATTTTCATAGTTATCTTCATTATTATTCATGGAAAGGATTTTTTTTTTTAAGTTTATTTAAGTAATCTCTATACCCAATGTGGGGCTTGAACTCATGACCCTGAAATCAAGAGACACACACTCTTCCAACTGAGCCAGCCAGGTGCTCCTATTTGTGGAAAGGATTTTAGCCATGTTGCTTACCTTTGTCTAAATCAAGGAATTCCTAATGAAAAAAAAAAAGAGAAATGAACATAATTAGTATAGGAAAGCTTTTCTTTTTTTAAGATTTTTATTTTATTTATTTGAGAGAGAGAGCACAAGCAGGGTGAGGGGCAGAGGGAGAAGCAGGCTCCCCGCTGAGCGGGGACCCCCCGATGTGGGGCTCAATCCTGGGACTCCAGGATCATGACCTGAGCCGAAGGCAACCTTTTTTAACCGACTGAGCCACCCAGGCGCCCCTAGGAAAGCTTTTCTCATCACTCATTATTCAGCATGGAATTTTAAAAGGAAGAAAAAGAATTTGTGAATAGTCTTTCTTCAGACTTCATCTTCTTTGCTTGCACCAAAGATTAATGCCAGTCTGAAACCCTGTGCATATACTGATGAGTAGTTGAAAGCACAGCTGTCAAAAAACAGGAAGAGATAAGGATATTTTTCCTAATAATTAGTTCCCCCCCCAAAACAGAAAACATACAGGCCACAGTGTTTGACCAGAATGGAGAAAACAGTAACAATAGGATAGCCATCAAATATTTGAATTTTAACTCCGTGCTCCCTATTGATTAACATGGGTCAGGGAACTAAGTCCTTGATATACATATTATTTAAGTGTGAATGAAAATGAAAATTGAAAAACCTGTGAATGGCAGGTTGTACTGGAAGTTGTATAAACCAGTTTGCATGTATATATTAAAATACTAGACAGGTCATTAATAAACTCAATACGGAACTCAATGAGCTTAAATAAACAAAAATAAGCCTAAAATGTGGGTAGAGAAAGTCATTATTATACAGAAATAAATGAAATAAGTAAACAAACTAAAATAGAAAATTTGGTTATTTGACAGAAATAACAGTAGACACACCTTAGTCATTTGTGTGGGGAAGTAAGGATGATAGATGAATAGGATTGTGAAATTGAAACAACTACATATTTAATTAAAAGGACTTTATCTTTTTGGTTAATGACAGTGTTCTGAGATTTGTGGTGTAGGTTGCACAACTTTGTGAATATGTACTAAAAACCACTGAAGAGTATACTTTAAAAGGGTGAATATAATAGTATATGAATTTTATCACAATTAAAAAACAAAAGTACTATAGGTATTTTTATACTATATCTGAAAGTCTGGACAAAGTATGGGATTTTTACTTTATTTTATTTTATTTATTTATTAGAGAGAGAGAGAGAGGGACACAGGGAGAGAGGGAACACAAGCAGGGGGAGTGGGAGAGGGAGAAGGAGGCTTCCCGCGGAGCAGGGAGCCCGATATGGGGCTCGATCCCAGGACTCTGGGATCATGACCTGAGCCGAAGGCAGACGCTTAACAACTGAGCCACCCAGGCGCCCCAAGTATGGGATTTTTATAAAGAAATTGAACTGACACAGAATTGACTACAGCAGAGGTGTAAAATCTTAATAGATTCCCCTCCAAAAGGAACATTTTCAAATTACACCAAAATTACTTCAAATGTCACACAGCTATATTAAGGGAGACACCAAATTATGTATATTTAATAGTTGAAATCTATGAAAGGTTTTAGGAACTCTTTTAGGACAGAGACTGAGATAGCAACTTATCTATTTCTATGAATTTATAATCCTAATGTTAACCAGTATTTTTTTAAAAGATTTTATTTATTTTTTGACAGAGAGACAGCGAGAGAGGGAACACATGCAGAGGGAGTGGGAGAGGGAAAGCAGGAGCAGGGAGACCAATGCGGGATTCCATCCCAGGACCCTGGGATCCTGACCTGAGCCGAAGGCAGATGCTTAACGACTGAGCCACCCAGGCGCCCCTATAATCCTAATGTTAAATGTTATGTTAAATGTTAAAACTTGCTAAAAGAACACAAAAGATAATATGCCCAGAATTGGTTATGAAAACATGCAATGTTATAAATGCGCACATCAAATCTGGTCAGCTATTGAAAGAAAATAAATACCTGTCACAAGCTGGATTTAGGAACAAAATGTTTCTGATAAACCCTTATCCAAACTTGCTATTTGCTTTCTGAAATTTGAAAATCAAATTTAGATAACATCGTATCCCTTAGTATCAGAAACTCAGGAACCAAATGGATTGGGACAGCAAGGAATTCTTGGAATACAACACAAGATAATTGACATGGAATTTCTAGAGTTCAAATAACTAAAGCACTATAAGTGAAAATACACTATCAAGCCCCAATGCCTTCTAAATGCACAATTCTTGTTTTTTTCTTAGCAGTATTTGACAGAATGGGATTTATTTTATAAATAAAAAGAGTTATACTACCTGCCGCAAAAGCACTGCATTCATCCATTTATATCCTGTCTACTTCTCACTTGAAGAGTCTTTAAAACAAAGGCAGTGAATGCAATTACTGCCATGCATATTAGTATGAGGGTGTAGTGGGAGGTGGGTAGGAGCTTATTCAACACAGAATTTCAACTTTTTTTTTAAGATTTTTTATTTATTTATTTGAGAGAGAGAATGAGAAAGAGAGAGAGCACGAGAAGGGGGAGTCAGAGGGAGGAGCAGACTCCCCGCCGAGCAGGGAGCCCGATGCGGGACTCGATCCCGGGACTCCAGGATCATGACCTGAGCCGAAGGCAGTCGCTTAACCAACTGAGCCACCCAGGCGCCCCAGAATTTCAACTTTGATTGCAATTAGAACAATAGGCTCTAGACGAATATGAAAAGCCTTCACTGCCATGACTGCAAGAAAAACCTTGACAATATAAAAATCCTACTTTTATATGGGACCATCTAAGAGTGGTGGAGACAAAGAAGCATTGAACTGAATTTCTGATGGAAATAAGCCCCTTTTAAGTGAACAGATTGCCGTGTGACTTTCCATACCTAAGTGCAGTGCATGTTATAGGAATGAGGATGAAGGAATATAGATGAAGAGACCATGGAGATAAAGAGAAATGAGAGGGTGCCTGGGTGGCTCAGATGGTTAGGCGACTTGCCTTCGGCTCGGGTCATGATCCTGGAGTCCCTGGATTGAGTCCCGCATCGGGTTCCCTGCTCAGCAGGGAGTCTGCTTCTCCTTCTGACCCTCCCCCCTGTCATGCTCTCTAGCTCTCATTCTCTCTCTCTCTCAAATAAATAAATAAAATCTTAAAAAAAAAAAAAAAGAAATGAGAGCCTACAATGATACTTAGGACTTTTCTGGATGGATTAAAACCTGAAAAGCCCTGAATGCAAAAGATTTAAACAATACTATCAACCAACTTTACCTACTTGATATTTATTTAATGATAGTCTTTGTACAGTCTCTACCACAGAACATACTTGCTTTTCAGTTATATAGGAAACACTACAATAGACCACATGTTGAATCATAAAATAAGATTCAATAACTATCAACAGACTTACATCATACAGATTATGTTCTTTAATACAAAACTAAACGCAACTCAATGATTAAAGACTATATAGAAAATCCTGTTTTCTTCCAGATGCTTGATAGTCTTAGCTTTTAACTTAGGTATGTGATTCACCTAGAATTAATATTTGTGTATGGGATAAAGTACAGGTGGGGTTTCTGTTTTGTTTCTTTGATTTTGTGTGTGTGTGTGTTTCCCCTCACATACTCAGTTGTTCCAGTACTTTTTGTTAAAAAAGACTTTCTTCTCCATTGAGGTGCTTTGGCACTTTTATAAAAAAAAAAAAAAATCAATTGACCATGGGGCGCCTGGGTGGCTCAGTCGGT